CAAGTATTAAGGAAACACAATACTGTCACGTGAAAAACATAAGAATACACATATTTTTGAGTTTCTATTTTCTTAGGGCATGGTCTCTTTTTAATTAAGTGAAAGTATAGAACCTAAGAAGGAACTGAGGTATTTCAGTTTAGAACAATAACCAGAGGCATATGTATAAATAAAATATAAATATAAATGCCAGAATCAGAGCATATATAGTAAGTTTGAAAGATAGTTTTATTACTGTAACAAATGAAAAATAAGTTTTGTCTTTAAGGAAAGAAGTGAGTTCTTAGGGAATAAAAACAGGCTATTTATTTTCATTACTTGGTGTGATGACATAAGCATTTTACTGTTCGGAATAGTGTACAAATATCACAACATAAAATTCCACCCCTAGGGTAGCAAAAGGTAAAACATGAACTTTGTCAGTTACTGCAGGTATTATTCTCATTGTTCTGAAGAGTTTGGTTTTTGAGATTACAGAAGATAATTCCATAGATGCTCTGGATGTTCCAAAAGGAAGAATTAAAAAGGCCTGGGAAAGTGGGCCAAGGTAATAGTTTGATATAGGAGATTTATAATTAGTTCTTTTGATGGAACAGGCACTATCATTCCTCATCCTATCCCGAGGCTTAACTGCAGAGCCAAACTTGATAGTACAGCTTGAAAATCATTGGCTAGCGTGACAGGAACAGAAGCCAAACTTCTCCAGTCAGAGCGTGCACATTTCTTAGTTAAAAACTAAAAAAATGGCCCTCCCTGGTGGTGCAGCGGGTTAAAGCACAGCACTGAGAATCTAAAGCCGCTTCCCCATGAGTTCGATTCCCGCCTGCCCCGGAGGTGACCACATGGTGCGGCAGACCTCTCCTGACCCGCCCGCTGCTCCCCTCAGCAGTGTACTTCATCGATCTGCCTGTTCTGCTCCCCACTCTGTCTCTGGTGAAGCCTCTCGCCGTCCCTGAGCCTCTGGCCTGTACCCCAGTTCTGTATGCACAAATAAATAAATCTTTAAAAAAAAAAAAAACTAAAAAAAAATGGTGGACACATGACAATCCTCAAAACTTCCGTTGGTTATTTTAAATAAAAAATGCAGAATATAAAAGTATCTGTGTGACTATATCTCAGACAATCTGAATAGAGCAGAGAAATTATTGGAGACTGAAAGGAGGTTTGTAAGATGCTATGGAAATACATTCTATGAGCTGTTCACAGTGTAGAGTCCACACTTCTCCAAGAATCCAGATGATACTCTAGAAGAGGTCTCTAAGAAACTGGGAACTTTTATGCTCCTTTCTCTCTCCTCTCCTTCTTCCCCTTCAACCATGCATCCACTGGATTTGGCAATATATTTGATAATTTTTAAGGGTCAGAAACGTGTAAGGCTGATAATTAACTGGGCCTCGCATCAGGGGTCACAGCAATGAGTCACCCCTTTAGAATCTGAACCTAGAATCTATATGAGACCCTTCCCTCTACAGCACTCGCAGTAGCTGCGGACCCCACCTTAGGGAGCTCCGTCTCAGCTCCTGCCCGGAGCAATAAACTCTGCTTGCTCAGCCTTTCTGCCTCCTGTCTTTCTTCCTTGTGACTGGTCACAGAAATCAGGACAAAACAAAACTGAGTTGGGTACTGGAGTAAAGCAAAGGATGAGTGAGATGTGGTACATGTTCTCACTAAGTTTACAGTATTTTTAGGAAAAAAAGATTTAAATAAAAAAAATATACAGGAACTCATATATTATGGGAACATAGTTCAAAAAGTCCCGATGAGGAAGTGAAATTTAAACTTAAAGGACAAGCAGAAAAAGAAGAGGGCTGGACAGGTGGCAAGTATGTGGAATGATCCGGACAAAAAGAATAGCATATACAAGACATAGCCAGTGAGGAAATAATTGAAGACCAGTGATAACACTGATACAATGAGATTGAGGTTTCCTCATGTTATTTTGGTAAACTACCCTTTTGACCCCCCCCCAAATAAAGCAATACAATGGCAAAAAAAATGCTTAGTAGGGTTAACTTCCTTCTGAGATGACAAGGCAGTAGAACAACTAGAATAACTTTAATTTGAAGTGGGCAGGGGACACAGGGAGAACTAGGTAAGGGATTGCAGTGATTGGGAGAGAGAAGCCAATATCATGGGGGAAAATAAGGGAAAAATTACGGGTTTTTTCCATGACCACACTGGCTCCCCTCCTATCCCAAATCCCTCCTCCCTAAAGAATGGATTTTTAAAGTGGGGGAGGGTACAGAAATGTTCTAATAATTACCTCCTTCCAGGATGACAGGTGTATTTAATTTCATATGCATACTTCCAGCACCAGCGGGAGGCTGCTTGGAGCTTAAACCACTAAATTGAGAAGTATCTGATGTATGAGGTTGGCAGGAAGGAATGCCAGGACCAAATAGCTCATAGGAGGAAGCCAGTCAGGAGCAGGCTGTGGCTCTAACAGGCTAATCCAGACCGCTGAAGGGCACCCCATTTAACTGATAATGACTTCCAGGTTGGAAATGTCAGTAGGCTGAGTTTTCTCTATCATTTGTTCCTTTAAAGAGTTCTATGAGCACAGAGCACATCTTTTATGAAGTTGAGATGATATCACGGAAGACGCAGTAGACAAAGACAAAACAAACCGAGTATTTCCTAGCTCATGGGGTGCAAATGGGTAGAGACTGCTAAACGTCTTTGGTATCCAAGTTCCCCTTTTTTTTCGAAACTTTTCCTTCGACCAACTGAATTTTAATAAGGCACAGGCATGGCCACATCTCTTAAGACTACATTTCTCACCCTCCTTAATATTTACTTATGACCACATGACAACGTTCTAATCAACAGGATATATAACAACTTCTGAGACACATGGAAAGAAATGTCTCACAATTGCCCTCTTTTCTTTCTCCTATGACCTGAAATGTGAGCGGGCACCAGTGAACCGATTTGGCCAACTCAGACTCATATTAAATAGCAGAGGAGGCTCATGTTAGAACAGCAAGGTGATGTCCATCTGTGGTCCCACTCATTTCCACAGAGCAGAGCTTCTCTCTTCAGTTCCCGCCTCCTTCTGAACTTCAACAGGAGGTGGAAAAAAGCTTCTCTTTATTTGTGCTACATTATTTTTGGGTCTCTGTTACCAAGGCTAAGCCGGGACCCAACCAGTTTACAAAATCAAGTATCTATAGGGCCCAGGGAGTCACTACAAATCACTGAGTGACCTAGATGTGAACAAAAGATGAGGACAAAAGCCCCCGTATGGGGTAGGGGTGAGGGCGACTGTGATGTAAGCCAGGGTTTCCAATTCTATTGCTCTATGGAGAAGTAGACTCAAAAGTGCAATCTTCCATGAAAAAAAAAAAATACTGGTAATTAATCCAGAAAAAAAAATAACAACACAAAACTCTTTAGTTTAAAAAAAGTTCCTCATTCTCAGACTCAATCCTGTAATAGCCAGTTTGTGACCTATTCTAGATTATAAGATGGCGTCGAATATAAAATCGCAAACTGCCTTATCTCTGCAGCAACTTTTGGAAAAAAGAACAGAAAAAGGAACATCGTATGAAAGTATGTACTAAGTACCAGGTATATCTTGATACTAGAAATGTTAAATATGAAAAAAATGTATATTTTAAGATTGGAAAATTTGATGTTTTTAGAACTTCATCCTGAATGTGAAAAACATCCCAGTTGTTGATGATAAAAATATGCGATAATGAGCCAACATTCCTCAATCATCCTCACCTCTGCAAAAAGGAAGCAGCTGGACAGCTCATGAAGGGAATAGCTGCACCCACACAGTAACTAGACTGTCAAGAACTCAAATATCCTCTTAACCATTTGATTGAGCCATAGGTTGTGGCATTTTTATAATAATATCTTTCTTTTTCTTTTTGTTTCAAAATCATGCAGTTACTTAAAAAAAAAAAAACCTGTGGAATTCCATGATATTCAACTTCATACTTAGGCAAAATACATGCTTGACATCAATAGACTTGGCTAATAATTTTAACGAGAAGAAATTATAGACGCACCATCATACAGTGGCCCATTAGGATCATCAAAAGGAAACCTGAGGGGCATTTCTGCTGGCGTAGGGGTTAAGTCTCAGAGCTATCACATCTATGGTCTGAGTTTGACCCCCTGCCAGGGTGCTAATCCATTCATGGTACAGCAGTCCTCTTCTGAACCTTAGTCCTCTTGCCTCCTGCTCCCCTTAGCAGGGTATTTCAGTAAATCCATCTGTTCTGCTCCCCACTGTCTGTGGTAAATTCTCTCACCCCCACACTTCTGGTCTAAATCCCAGTTCTTCCATGCCTACCTCCCTCCCCAAAAAAGTAAACTGGATTTACTAGGAACTACAAAATAATTATAAGAAGTTTATAGAACCTACACCTTCACCAACTATCTAATAATATATCACCATGTTGATTGTCTTTGGCTGTTCCTTACCTAAGTAAACACACACATCAGCAGAGGCAGTTTGGGCTAGGAGACAATCAGAAGCATCTCAACCATCCAGTGGCTCTTTGAGGGAACTGACTGACTGATGTTTAAATCAGAAGCTGCTACAAAGTTTTGTCTGGTCCCTGCTTCTAACCAGGTGGCCCTCTGAAAGCCAATCAGAAGGCTCTGGAAGATCCTGTAAGGCTGGACAGTACTGGATCAGCCCCTGGTCCTCAAAGACACCACCTCTAAACTCTGATTGATTGGTTCCTTTTTAAAATAATTTGCAAGGGAGTTAGGGCACTTAAAACTGACTTGTGAAATAGTCATTATGACTTAAATACCAAGAATAAAGATGCAATAAAAATTTATGACACCTTCATTACTTCCATTGAGGATGTTCATTCTATCAAAGTTAACTCATTGTTGTTGTATGATTTTAAGTGCCTGTTCTGGCTGAGGACAAAGAGTTAAGTTTACATTTGGTCTTAGCCTGTTTCACTGTTTATAAGTTTACACAAATGGACTCTGTAGTTGTATTGTTTTCTCTTTTGCATTTTTTTTTTTACCTCTTTATATATTCCAGTGCAATCATAGTAGTCTCTGGAAGGGAGGCCAAGTCGAGGTTGGTCAATCTATAAAAAAATATACAAAAAAGAAAATAAACCAGCTGATATAGGAAAGAGGCACCATACAAACACGCCTCTCCACAGGTCAGCAAACTCCTAGATTTGCTCTTTGTGAGGGTAACAGCCAGACACTGAGTGCATACATAATTAGGGAGTGTTTTCCACATCTCTGGTGTTAAACTGATGAGTAGTTCAATAATCTGGAGGATTGTGCTGCAGATATTTGAGGGGGAAAAAGAAAAAGAAAACCTTAAACAGAAATATACTGATTTTTAAAAATAAAAGGATTTTTAATGCAAAACAAAGATTCAGCTGAACAAAAAAATGCAGTCTAGGACAGGGTATTGTCTGAAGACACATTTATGGAACATTCCACTTCCAGAGATTCTTATATGCTCCCATTGGGGACATTCTCTTCAATCGGACATTCTTTTCAATCCACCCTAGTTGGGATGGGGAAATACTAAAAGGTGGAAGACCTCAAACATTGACTCTAGAACTGTCTAACCAGTAGAAATCTTGCCAAAGAATTTTTGAGACTCTCCACCCTAGGGAAAGAGAATCTTCCTGGCTCTCTCCAGAGTTGCTCCACCACACAGCTGGGGATTCTCCCCTGCAGCTCAGAGAAGGCACTGACTCTGCCACTCCCCTGATACTCCAGTAAGGATGTTTGTAAAGTTCTTACCTAGTAAACAACCGAGGACAGTCATGTCTACTTTCAAAAAAAGGCAGAAAAAGGGTCCACTGTAGGAAAGAGTTGGGATTCTGTGACCTAAAACTTTTGGGTTATTTTCTTTTACAGAAGATCAAATAACGTACATAATGTTATTTTATACAAAATCCTTTCCAAATACACACTATTTAAGAATTAGACTCTGGGCCTTTCTGGTGGCCTAGTGGTTAAATCTTAGTGCAAGCACCCTGCAGCTCACTATGAAAGTCAAAGTTTGATCCCTAGCCAGGGAGGTGACCCACATGGCCCAGCAGACCCCTCCTGTCTCACCACTGCTCCCCTCAGCAGTGTATTTCTGTAGATTCACCTGCTCTGTTTCCCACTTTGTCTCCCTACCCCCACCCCCACACCTCTGGCTTAATCCCTAGTTCTTCTATGCAAAAACAAGTAAATAAAATCTTATAAAAATATTTTAGGGCCATATTAGGTAAACTTCAATGAATGATTTACATTTTTTAAAATCTAATAAAACCACTTAAAATGGTATTTTGCCTTCATTGAGATAAAAATGAATATATTCTTTAGCTAGAAACAATATTGAATTGAGAATGCATTTTCTGTTCTTTTTGGAGCAATTAGGAATTTCTGGTTTCCAGACCTGTCTTACTCAGGTGAAAAAGACCACACATAGCTATTAGATGCTTTTTTATAAATGGGAAAGAAAGGCCTTTCATTTCTTATAAAGGGAGAAGTACTTAAAACTAAGGAAGATGAATTCTTAAAATACAGAGTTAGGAAAATACATTTAAAATTGGGGATCCACGTATCAGGAACACAGCAAAATTTATCACTGCCTTGCGCATGTGATTCAAATAAGAAGAGACATCATTTCTAAACATCAGTAACAAGAGTGTGAAAGCTTCTTACAATTCAAAGATCGTTTGGCTTTTGGCCACACAAACTTACATGAATTATATGGCTCATGGAGTTCTTATCATCAGTGCCAACAAAAAAGTTAATAAGAACTTTTTTCCCAAATTGAGAATTCAGTTGTGCAATAGATTTCTCAGGTGTCCAAGTATCTAAAATAATGAAAGGGGAAGCGTATCTTTAGAGGCATTAGTACATTCATATAATGGTATGATTAAATAACAGCATAGATTTTATACAGAATTACTTTTTTTCAAGAAGAAAATGGCCTTACCATATTTCTGCTCCCAGTTTTCTGTTGCCACTGGCCAGTCATACATTGCTGGTAACAGGTTGAGCAGCGGTACTCCACCTCTGTTATCAATGGTAGCTTTTGAAAGCAATAGAAATAAATTCACTATGATTCTGCACTTTCTGGCACAATTTAAAAAGAAATTATTAATGTAATATGGTGACACTGGTCTGTGTCAGACGTGGCATACTTTTAGTGAAACAAAAGAACACTTACATTCATTTATGCAAGATCTGTACAGTGTTTTTGCTTTCTGTACTGCTTCTATATCTTTAGTCCCGGGTTCCTGAAGGACATCTGAGTAGGATAGTTCAGACAATACATCAATAGAATTCCTCACTTGTATCTATGATTAACATTTTCAACAGTGCTTCAGTAAAGAATTTGGGTTTTGAATGCATGCACATTGCCTCCCCATTTCAAAACCCTATAGGAAAATCCATTCCCATATCCTTATTCCTAGGGCAGAACTGTGAGTCAGTGTCATTAGCCAAAGTAAATAAAAGTTTTTGGGACTAGTTACCTTTTTGTGTGTGAACAGTGATGTGTACTGCTCTCCCACAGATAAAGCTTCTTTTTTTTAAAAAAAAAAAAAATGAGAGTAAAAAAAAATAATAATACAGAGGAATCTGGAATTTTCTTGGTGACTGGAAAATAATTATCTTTGTGTGATTGTACTGTTCATACTCCAAAAGAATTGAATGAGTTTTTCTACTTGTTTGGATGGCTGATTTTACACAAAGTAACTTCTAGAACTGGAGAACACAGCATGGAGGACTAGACTTGAGAACTAGATGTGATTTCCTCCTCTTCCCATGGGAGTGTCGTAGTTGGACCCGAGTAAAGATACCTACACTAGGAAGGCAGTAGTAACTTCAAAACAGGATGGGCATAAGAAGACCACAGAGGTATTTGGTAGTAATCCCTTAATTTCTTCTTTAGTAAAATGGTATAAAGATGCTATCTCTAGGGATGACAGAGCTTTACTACCTTTGTACCTATGCTTGAAAGCAGAGATGCTAAGAGATGCTAACACATTCATTTCAGTGTCTACCATACTCTTCATGACTCTGGTGATCCACAAAAAGTGGAGGAGTTATCCATATTAATCTTCTGGATTTTCCCTAAACGACTAAGAGTTGTATCTTCAAAGACAGATATATTCAAAGAGAAATCATCGATGCATAGACAGAAATGCACTAACCTTTCAAAACAACTTCCAGTTCATCTCTTAAAATGTCAAAGTTACTGTAACGGAAGCTGGTCTCAGGAATGACGTTGCGTTTCAACCAACCTCCACAGGCGTATTTGAAAAAGTCTGTGCAAGGCTCAGCAGTGGTGTCCATGTTCTCGATCAGTCGAGCAGCTGGAAGAGCAGGAAGAAGAAGGATTAAATGAAGGGTGCATTTCTAAAGTACTCTGGAAGGGGTAAAAGGAGACATGTTGCTTCTGTTTTATTAGCAAGTCAATTGGTTTGTCCTTTTCCTTACTTTGGTACCTGTCAATTCAATGCTGGTGGATTGATGATGATGATCAGCAAGTAGTGCGCCTTTCCTAAACTATACTTGGTTAGTTTTACCCTTGGGTTTGAGTCCTCCAACTCTACGTCTCCTCCTCCAGTCAACAGAGGTTTTCTCTAACCCCTATTTCAATATAAAGAGAAGACAGATCTGCCTTACAACTTCGTTCTCCACTCTGGTTGTTGGCCTGTATTGAACCAAGCTAACGCCATTTTGCCTCTGTATTCTGCTTACTGCTTGCTACAATAGGAAATTCCCCAAGTAGCTTTGCTGTAAAAGGTAAAAAACTTGTAAAACTGATTACTGTCTGCAACAGGACCAGTATGCAGGTCATATGGTTCGTTAAGACTTGACAAACCTCTTAGGGGCCACTGTAAGGATGTTATCTTTGTAACAACTAAGGTTTGGTTCCTTGCCTGAAGTGTATAAAAACCTGTTTCTGTAACTTCTCGGGGCCTCACTCTCTAGAGGGTGATGGTGCCAGATGGCCGGTATTTGGAAGCCCGAATAAAGTCTTGAATCTCTGTCTCCACATCACCTGACTGCTTTATTCCAGCGGCTCCAACATGGTAATTCCAGATGCTCTCTACCCTTTGAGGTGGATGCCTTCTTGACACCCCAAAGGATGGGGGCTGTTAATGGATTTTATCATTTCAGTAAAGATCTATAGTTACAGTCATCATTTCTTGGACTTTGCAAAATGTTTGCAATTCAAATTAGGTGTCTGATCTGTGTGTGTTTATAAAGTCTGTCACAATAAAATTGGTTGTAAGCTTGTTCGTTTTTCTTTTTTTTTTAAAGACTTATTTATTTATTCATACAGAACTGGGGTACAGGCCAGAGATGTGGAGGGTGAGAGGCTTCACCAGAGACAGAGTGGGGAGCAGAACAGGCAGATTGACGAAGTACACTGCTGAGGGGAGCAGCGGGCGGGCAAGTCAGGAGAGGTCTGCCACGCCATGTGGTCACCTCCGGGGCAGGCGGGGATTGGACCCATGCAGAAGTGGCCTAAGCTTCCCAGTGCTGTGCTTTAACCCACTGTGCCACCAGGGAGGGCCCGCTTGTTCGTTTTTCTTATGTCTACTTTTTTTCTTTGAACCATGATGAAAATGCAAATCCACCAACCAACCCTGTGTATTTTCAACATACGTGCTGCAATGGATAGATGTAAACATATGAATTATTAGCACTGGAGAGAATATTTAATAAGTACAAGAGGCCCAACACCACAACTTCTACACCTGGAGGTGTGAGGAAGCCCTCCCATTTCCTTCCCCTTTTTCTCATACTAGTGGAGCTGTTTTGCAAGGAAAACAAAAGAGCGATTGAGAATTCATCTGTATGAAGAGAGTATAAGTTCTCAAACGAGCTTTTGAAAATACTTCACTTTGTGAATTAATTAATTAATTAAAAAACCTCAGACAATTGCTGGGCTGTGTGGACTTTTTCAGCTTGGAATGGTGTATCTGTTTGCCAATTGAGCTTCACCCTCTGTCCCCCAACACACACACACACACACACACACACACACACACAGCTAACCATCTCCTGGACACATTTGTTTGGTTGCCAATTCACACATCACCCCTCAGCTCTCTGGGTTTAGACTTCCATACTTTGGCATTCTGCACAATCATGGGTAAGACTGTATTACCCTCTCCCTCTTGGGCTGGCTCCTAACTCCTTTGTTTCCTTTCTATACTACTCTTTCCAGATCCGGGCTGACCTGGTTTACATCTTCATTCCCTTTTGACTAAAAGGCAGCTGGCTAATCACCTTGTTAGTTGTGAGCTCCTGCTTTTTATACATTCCATAGGTCTTTCACAGATTAAATCTCTCAAAATACACATTCGCCTGGCCACTCTCTTGCTCAAAAATACTAGCGACTTGACATTATCCAGGTTAAAATACAAACTCTTTAACTTGCAGTCTGAACTTTTACCAGTGAGTCAGAAGTCCTTACCATCTCTTTTTCCCTTTCTGTGTTTTTGCACAAACTGTGTTCCAAACAGTATCCTTTCAGATACGACTACAAACACTTTTGTGTTTTCCTATTTTATGCCTTGGCCTATCTCCTTCTTTCAATCTTTTAACTCCTCCTTTCAATTATCTCCACATTCTACCCATTACTGAAGATTCTATGAGCTGTTCGTTCTCCAAATTAAGGATATTTGTTCTCCGAACTACTGACAACTTGTTGCTTCTCCTGTTCTTTAACACATAGACGAGGCTACTTACAAGGCTTCTCACTGAGGAAATCTTCTCTGTCTTCCTCCACATTCTATTAGTGAACTTGACCTCTGAACTTTCGAACTTTGGACTGTTGATGAACTTGACCATCACCAAGCACCTCATTAAAAATGAGCAATTAGGTCTACATGTGACAGCATTACTGAATCATTTATGAGTCTTCTCTGCCCTCCTACACATCCCTTTCTTGCAGGTCTGACCAGTTCTCATTTCACAGTCTCCAGTCTGTCCTAGCCTAATCACCACCATGTCTGTTTTCTCTCAGACCCCCTTCTCAGCCTCTATTTCTGCCCTTTAGCTGAAGCTACAGCCCCAGGCTTCTCCCCCCCACTCCATCCAGTGTGCCAGTCAGATTAATGTTGCTATAATACCGCAGCTGCCATTTTCCATTCCAAGTTGTCATAGAATCTTTTGTATCTTTTGTATTTTAGTAATAAAATACAGATTTCATATTTTAATCCTATTACATATAATGAAGCTTCTCTCTTACACCTTTCTCACGTGAGCCATCTGTCCTAATTAAATAGGTATATATCAATTTCTACTTTGAAACATCTATGTTTTCTGCTACTGCAACTCTGACCATTCTCAACTCATGTTCGAATATTTTTTCCTGAATTTTTTTTAACATTTTGAATTTCATGCATTTTCAAGATTTAATTCAATTTCTCTTTCTTCATCAAGGCCTGACATTACAATGTACAGACTGACTGGCATCTTATTCACATTTTTAAAAAAAGATATATTAATGTAGGCATACAAGAACTGAGGTACAGGCCAGAGGTGTGGGGGCTAGGGGCAGTGATAAGATTCACCAGAGACAGAGTGGGGAGCAGAACAGGCAAATCTGAATATAATGCTGAAGGGAGCAGTGGGGGAGACAGGAGAGGTCTGCTGTGCCATGTGGGTGAGCTACCTGGCTGGAGATCAAACTTGTGCTGCAGTGGCTGTGGATAGCATCACAGTGTTGTGTTTTAGCCCACTGTGCTATCAGGGAGGTCTCCCTTACTCACTTTTTGTATAAAAGTCTGTTATCTCCTCAGCTGGAATGGGCACTGGCCAAGGAGGAAATGCATTTCCAGTTCCTTCCACAGTCAAAGACTGTGCTCCACTGACTCATCAGTAAAAACATTAACTTCAAATCTCAGGTAAAGATTAGGAAAGTGGTCTAAAAAATGTAGAAAGAAAAGGTGATTCCCTGGAACACAGAAGGAAATAAAGCTATGATGACAGGAGAAGTGAAATAAAGACAGTAAAAAGTTTACCACATTTGGTGAAAATTGGTGACTGAAAGAATGCTTGCTGAAGAGGTTCTAAGCACTCATCTTCAGCAATTTTGTATAACTCTTGTCTTTTAAAAAATACTTCAAAGAATTTAAACTGTTGCAAAGGCAGCTATCTTCTGGGGATCCTCTCTCCATCCCTTCTCTGGGGAGTTGGATGGTTTATATCCTACCACCACAACCAACGATCACCTCCAACTTGGAACAGCAGTGAGCAGAAATAAGCAAGTAGATGAACAAGGAGCAATGAAGACGTCTTCCTGCCTATTTGGAAATGCCACGCACGCTCATAAACACCGGAGTGGACTGCATGCAGATCTAAGCTCATGAATGTAAGCCCCCTGTCCTGTGAATGCCTTTGGACTCTACATCTCTCATAAGGAAAAAATATGGTCCTTTCCCTCTTGGGCTGGAATCCTCATTCGCTCCCCAGTACAGTGAAACTACTGAAATTTGGACAACAAATCAAAGAGGCAGCATTCAAACTACTAGCGAGGGTTATAGAGGCAAGACATAGGAAGAGTCCTTCCCATGCCACTTTTTAAATCTCCCTTTGACCCGAGAGAGCATGTGAGCATGGGTGCTTCCAATCACTTCAAAGAGAGCTTTCTGTTCTGATGAATATTTTGGGGCCATGGGCCAAGGCAAGTCATAAGCTGGCACTTTTATGCTGGTTCTTTGATCAACCTCCCTTTAATCTCTTATCGTGGGTTTGATTCTCATTTTGCACCTTATCCTCCGGACCTCCTCTGTGCTGACTTTTTCTTTGAAGTCAGCAGTAGACTTGTGGGTAGAAAGGCCGTAGGAAACAGACGCACAACTGTCAAACTGGTTGTAATTGTTTTTATATTTTGTACTTTGTTTTGAATTACTCAACCTCTCCCCATAACCACACCTGGGCTCTTCAGATGTTTCCTTATCTGTGGGTCTCGGTCTTCTGAGTAAACAAATGTGGTGTAAAAGCAAATAAAATTATTCACCTTCATAAGCAGACATAAAAAATGATGTAGTAAAGGCAAACATGTTAACACGGAATGTTGCTGCCAGATGTTTGTAAAGTGAAAGGAAAAGCATCTTATGATTTAAAAAAAATCTGTACAGAAACACAGAAAATCTTAAAGGCATTTGCAACAATTATATTTGGGTAGAGGGATTATGAGTGCTTAATTTTGTATTATTTGCTTATCTTTATTTTCCAGTTTGTATTAGATGAACATGCATTTCTCTTGCAATAGGGGGAGAAAATTTTATTTTTCAGAAAATAGTCACATAAAGACAAAAGGTAATTATCTATTAATAATGAGTTTATTTCT